TAATATAATTATTTATGTCTTTTTCCTTGAAATTTTTCAAAAATTTAGATTGATAAATATTTTTCTTTATATATATATGGGCTCCTTATGGACTTATCTTGTGGTTGAGATTACATGTAATAATATTTTTAATACCAAAATATCATGATTTCAATTTTTTTTCTTATGATAATGATCATCATTAGTACCTTGATAGCCTTAATAGTAAAATTCAATCTAGATCTGAAAATGAACTTCGCCAAGTGGCCTGATGGGCCGCGCGCCTTATTGAGAAAAATAAGATATTCACTAAATTTGGGGATTGAATCTCCAATTGCTAACAACTAATAAAATTAATCTACTAACTATTACCCTTGTCAAAAAAAAAAAAAATCTAGATGTGAAAATGACAACAAATGAATTCTTTAAAAAATATTGTTTAATTTCTTGACTTCTCAACTTAGGGACGAAGAATCTTAGAGGGTTGGTGGCCATGGCCACCTAGCCTTTGAAAAAAAATTAATACATACAAGTATTTTTTTATGAAAATTTTAATAAATCAATTAATATATGTATTTAAATTTACTATATAAGAAGACATTGAGCCTGAAAATTTTAATACCTATGCCAAGGGTCCAAGTCTATAAATTAAACACATCATGTTTCTTTATTAGTCAAAGCTTCCTCCACGTTTACTCTCCTTTAGATTCATGGATGCCCAAAAAAAAAAAAACTTTATACTGTTCTCAAAGGTTTCTTGTTTCTTCGGCCTTTCAATGACTCTCATCCTTGTACAGCTCTTGAAGTTTGCGGGGTTTTCTTTTTTTTTTTCAGCAAATGGGGCATATTAACTTTTAAAATTATTGTTTTAAAGTAGATTCTCATTAAAAAAAATATTGATATAATTTATCATTTTAAATTTATATTTTTTAAATTTAACTATTTTTGTTAAACTTTGATAAATAATCACTGTTGAATTCTAATAAAAAATTATCAATAACCATTAATTTAAACTTATTTTTTAAAATAAAATTTTAAAATGATAAATTACCCTAAACATTTTTACTAAGTGAAAATCTACTTCAACACAACTATTTTAAAAAACAATTTACCCATTTAGCTTCTTCTTTTTTTATTCCAGTATATTGATTATTGCAACCGTGATTTCTCACTAGCAGTCCACATTTCTTCTTCTATTCTAAAGAGTTAAGTTGTTTTGCTATTAAGGTTTATTCAAACCATGCACAATGACCTTGAGTTTAAAAGGGATACTAAAACATTTGAGAATTAATTGCATTATGATACATTGACTCTACATACATAATCAAATAATATATTTGAATCGTGAATTAATGAGGAAGATTATAATCAATTAGGTATTTCAATGTAATTTTTTTTTTGATAAGGGTAAATTAATTTTATTAAATATTAACAACTAAGAATTCGATCTTTAAATCTGATGAACATTTCAATTGAATAATTGAATAATTGAATTAAAGAGGCGCGTGACCCGCGTGGTGGAGTTAAGGTATTTCAATGTAATTGATTTATTTCCTCATATAGTCTACCATTAGGGGCTGAGGCTATATAGAAGTCAACACATGTAGCTGTCTACACAATCAAAATAAATGTCTTTTTTTGAATTCTCTCTGCTTTAACCCATAATAATAGACTCGAGTGACGCGGGCCACCCCAAACGCGTTAAGCTTGAGTCCTATGCCCAACTGCTCTACCGCACAGAATAGCATTGCTAGGGATTGGATATTCATCCCTCCAAGAATTTGCTGGGGAGAATACACGCAGGTAGAATTGCTGCCCTAAATACTGGCGAGCCCAGTCCTCAGACCTTACGTTCCACATCCCCACATTGTCCAAAGGCATGTACACTGCACTCCATGACCTGGGATACACCTGCATTCACATGAAAATATATTCAAGAAAATTATAGGTTAATTGCTAATTTTGGTCTCTCAACTTTAAGCTTTTGAATGATTTTCATCCATTAACTTTTTTATGCACTTTTTTAATCCTTTAATTATGAAAAATATAATTTTTTAATTTTTTACCAATTAATCTATTAAATCTATATTTAAATTTACACATTTTTAATCCCTCAACTTCTAATAAATGCATATTTTTCATCCCTCAACTTAAAGTTAAGGGATTAAATATATGCATATAACTACTACAAAAGTGTTTTTCATAGGCATAGTCAAAGGACTAAAAAAGTGCATAAAATATTGAGAAATGAAAATTGTGTAAAATCTTAAAGTTGAGGGACCAAATTTGACATTTGACCAAAATTATATAATTATATATCATTCTCCATCATTTCTACCATACTCAGAATTATGATAACCAAGAAAGCCAAGAATATCCATAAAAATCAAACTAAGGCTTTAAGCCACGAATACATTAGAAGTGAAAGATTTGCTGTTCTCAAATTCCATTCCCGGGTGGGGAAGGAATGAAGAGAGAAGAACATCCAGCAAAAATTCTCCACCTCATTTCTATAGATGTGATTTACATTCTTTATGAAGTTTGAGGTTTGTCAGAGTACCTGCACTGTGCACCGAGAAATTGTGTCTCTTAAGTTGTAACTTAATCTGCTTGCGGGTGTCCACTGCCCTCCATCCATCCTGTGCATGTCCAAAATTTCAGACTCCAAAAGATGGAAATAAACTTTTAGCACATCCAGCTAGATTGAAAAGCTTGAGTTGGATATACATACCCAACAATGAAGAAATTGTGACCATCGATGTGCCAGGACTGCAAGATGTCTTCTTGATTCTCAAAAACAATCTCAGCATAACCCCTAAAATCAGCAGCCATGACAGAAGTTTGGAGGTAACCTCCACCTCCAGTGGGGCTATCTGGGATGCTTCCTGGGGAGAACACTCCAGAGATCTTGAAGTAGTCAGCAAGTTTAAGTGGAGTGTCAGCTGGAGTGAAGGACACACTATTGACAGCATACCTCTGCTTGCCATTGATAATAGGACCAGAGTTTGCAAGTCTAATAGTACGGGTTGTGTTGATCATTCCATAATGGTATGAGCCTTGAGGATTAGGTCTTGGTCCACTAGCTGAAAGATTCCGCCTAGTTGATACACAGCATCACAGAATCAGCGAGAGCAATTCTGATTAGAAGATTAAGAAAAAAGGCGAAAAAGAAACCTATTGACAATATTCAAATTATCTTGCCAAAACTGAAGATGCATACAATTTTGTCAAAACCACTATCTTGCTATTCTTAGAATGTTGAATTAACACAAAAACACTTCAAGAAAACCTAGGAACTTCAATTTCTAGTATTTAGGAAGAAAAGTCTCTAACTTTCACTTTGAATTACTGCTACTCCGCAAATGATTGATGTTTCTACCATTTGTCAATCAGCCCAATTAGAACATTACCAACAAGACAGAAGCTACATAAGAAAATCAACTGCTATCATAAAAGAAAATCAACTGAATATGAGAAACACCTGATAGATCGGGCTTGTTCAAGAGACCAATCGACCTGAGTAGTTGGTCCACCAGGGGGAGGACCCGAAACACTTCCTGCAGAGTAACTATAATGGAAAATAGCTGTTGTTGTGAGCACTTTGGAAGTGAATCGTGTGGAGGCAACAATGTAGTAATCTTGTGCTGGCTGATCTGCCGTAACCAACACGGAGTATGACTGGCCCAAGTGTATGTCAAGGGAATCATAAGTGTTCTGCAGTGTGTGAGTTCCTTCCACCTCCACCAGCTGCAGCTTGTGCCCCTGGATTCTGAAATTAATGGAAGTTTTAAGCCCCACATTCGATATCCGGAATCTGTATGTCTTTCCTGCTCAACCAAAAAAGTCCCATAAGGTCATTATGAAATACATATATACACAAATAAACACAAACATATGCATAGACTGAACTTAAATTCATTGCTGAAAATAAATGGTCACCTTGATCAACTGTAAATGTGTACCCATTTGCACCACGACCATTGATAAGGAGACCATCAGGGAAAGGAAGGTCACTTCCGCCGTCTAAAATTGCTCTCAAGTCCTGAGAATCACAAGCGAAACCATCAATTTTCAGTTTTAGTGAGTGTGTCTATTAGATGTATGTGAAAATGCCAAACTGAACTTTTTCCTACTCACGGTGTGATTTTTAGTGTACCAGTCACCGGCCAAGATGGTAAAATCGGCAGCAGGAGGAGAGAAAGGAACGGGAATAACCGAGCGGCTGAGGATTCTGAAGCCACCATAACCTCCGGCAGCCTTGTGGAAGGCCAGGGAAGGGAAGTAGAAATAGCTACCTATCTGATCCTTCACCTGAATAATGTAGGTGAAATTCCCTCCTGGAGGGATGGGGCAGTTGGTACCATAAACCCCATCCTGCCATGAATTCCTCCTCTGCTGCACCCCATTCCTAAAAGATCAAAAGCACACATCACTGACTTATTTGGGGTCATTTTCACATAAGAAAAGAAACCCACAAAGAGAATTCAAGTACAAACCATGAAATGAGAAATGGTTCATCCAAGCTATTGAAAACATTTACAATGAGGTTGTCGTTAGTGACAGACTCAATTTGGGGTCCCGGAAATTGGCCGTTTATCAGTATCCCCTGCCATTTGCAGGAAACCGACAATGATAGTTATTACGGTGATAAAAAGATCAAAGCTTTGGTTAATTTGACGTATATAAAAATATAAGTAACATATAAAGAACGAAACTTGAAACCTGTTGCTTGACTCCCAGTGGATAGATGTCACCATACGTGACATTCCAAGTGTAAAACCTGTAAGGGTCTTCTCCGGCTATGCAGGTGAGTAAAAGCAGAACCACAATGAACCCACATACTCTGTTATAATCTCCCATCTCTCCGGCAATGCCTCTTATGGATTTCCTTGAGAAGAATTTGGGAATGGGTTTGGGAATAGTTGCAGAAAGAAGAGACTTTGTGTTTGTAAAGATAAAGCTACGAGAATCTAAATACGCTCTTTCCTCTTTTGCTTTGCAGCTTGGCTTTGTTCTGCTTTGTAGTGTCGGTGCTGAAAACTAAATGAGGATGAACGGATCAATGAGTGGTTGAGATATTAAGCAATTAACAATGGTGACTGAATGAATGAGCTGTAGGGTTGCTGGTTCTGCAGTGTGTAAATGTAAACACCGCGTACCTTGGACTCTGTGTGCGAAGGTGTGATGTGAAAATCTTTTTTCCCTTTAATGTTGAGTTGTTACATCATCTACCTTCCAAAAAAAAGGGTTGTTACATCATCGAATTTGGACCTGTTAATGCTTAGATGCCATGAAAGAAGGGCATATTAACCCCTGTACTCTTCATATTGTGACAAATCAACCCCTTAACTAAAAATGGTGACAAATAAACCCTCAAACCTTTGAAATGGTGGCAAATCAGCCCCTATATAACCGACATGTCATCATTCCGTGAAAACTAACAGCAAGCCTAATTTTTATGGGGCCCATTGCTTACTCGGCAATGATATTGACACATGAATATAAAAAAACAACTCAAAAATAAATTTTTTATTCTTTTTTATAATTTTATATGTTATTTACTTATTTACATAATTATTTTTTTATTCATTAAATCGAATTTCGTCTGAAAAGATTGATTTGCCACCATTTCAAAGATTCGAGGTTTCATTTCCCATTGTTTTAGTTGACGAGCTAATTTATTACCATACAAAGAATTATATAAAAATAAAGTAATATTATTTTAAATATTTTTATTTATTATTAATAATTACGTCAATTTTATCCTTTAATCTTAATATAAAATATTAAAAGACATGGTGACGTAGTATTTCCCAATGTTATAATGGTATGCTAAAATTCGAGTGAACTTCTAATCTGCATATGGATGTATACTCATTTGCATTGCTATAGTAGCATTTGAGTCATCAAGCCTAATCCTAGGTGCCCTTCCATATGCAAATGCAATCGAACCGACTTACAAAATAATTTCTGCAATATTCTATCCAAGTGATAGTTATTTGTAAACTGAAATAAAAAAAAGTTTTTCACCCAATTTGTTGACTTGCACACTAGATTTGATTTTCCATGATAATGTAGTTTCATTCTTTAAACCTATAAAATTAACTCTTTTGTAAGTACAAAACTTGCCAATCATGCACAATGACTTTGTTGAGATAATCAAATTGTGTTAGGTGCTTTCAAGGGACAGCTTAAATTTTTCTTAGACGATTGGATCCACCTTAAGAGGCAACTAAGATCTTCAACCCATATTTAATTATTGTGATTAGATGTTTTAATATTTTTAATATAACAACATTTCAATTTTTTCTTTTCTCTTATTTTGAGATTCCAAATAGAATGAGTAAAATACGAACTCCACATCACAAGATAAGACTATCATTTACAATATATTAGGTGGCCACTTAGGCTGCTACAACTTCTCTTTCTCTTTTCTTATATAATTATTATGTGTATCACAAATTAAATAAAACTAATGGACAAGTTACAATATCTCTAACATTTAATTGAGATTGGATTACTTCAAAATTCATAAGATATACCTATAATCAATACCCAACTTTAAAATTATGTAGGGATACTATTTATTTTAAATATAAGGTGATACTCTTTTGTAAAGTTTTTTTTTAAAAAAAATTTATCGAAAAAGATTTTACTTTAATTTTTAAAATTAATTAAGTTATTCACATTTTTTTATTAATGGGAATTAGGAACTTTTTTAGATATAAAAGAATTGTATTTTGGGAAAAGGTTGAAAAAAAAAAAAGAAAAAGAAAAAGAAAAGGAAAAGCTTAACTCAAATTGTTGATTATGATGTGTGACCTCCCAATGCCATCCATCATCAACCTTTTCCCAAACAATGCACAAACACACGTTCCAAACTCCACTCTCTTTATTTCTATGTACAAACCTAAACTGACCAGGTTCAATGAACCTGAAAAACCCCAACTCCTATTTAATTACCTCTGAAAGAAGGCTGCTCTACAGAGAATGCATGATGGGTACCTGCATTTGTTTTGGGATCACAGACTTGTTGTTGAGGTTCTCTCATGGGGTAAGTACTTGTTTCCTACTCATGCCTAATTTCTTCATTCAAATATCATGATTTGTACGTTTTTATATATTGACATTCATGATCCTATTTGCAGGGGTAATGGTTTCTGAATAAGCACTTCTCCTTAAGGCTTTCAGGATTTTGGATTAAACCAAATAAGGTAACCATATTGCCAATGCTCTCAGGTACTTGTTCTCTTCTTTTCTTCCTTGCTCAAGAAACATGTCTAATGATAAGGGATGATATATTTTGATTGAGGATTAGTGTTGTTCTAAGAGAAAATGCTGCTTTTTATTGACATAATCAAGGATGTGCAAATCTCCATCTTACCTTACCTAAGGTCGGAATGGGTGGCTAAGAATGAATATAGATTGTTGTTAATTATATATTGTATTTTGGGGTAGTTCTTATTGTATTTTGAGCATCAAGCATGATTAAGTAGTCGAGGAAATTAATATTGGGAATGTGCAGGACATTCTTAATTAGAAGTTTAAAGAAGATCTAGGAAGCAAAAAGTGGGGGGGCGGGGAAGAGTTGGTTGGCTAGTGCTTGATTTTTCTTATTATGATATATGCAACTTGTTCCTACTGCCTCACACTTACCACTAATTATTCTCCTTGTAAATTATTCTAGTCATATCTAATAATTTAATGCTACTGGCTGAGGGAATGGAGAAAAAAGAGTGTTAAAATTAGACCTTTAAACAATCAAGAAAAGAATGTTATGGAGTTTATTTTAATGAATATCTATCGTATTTTGATTGTGTAGTGGAGGAGCAGAGGATGTGGAATTGATTGCATATGCATGGTTAATGGGTCATCTGTTGCTGCCTTTTGGCATTCATACTTGGAGGTCGAATGCAGAGGTCTTCAATTTTCTCACTGCAGTAGGGAAGCGCCATGACACTCATGTCAAGTACATGTTTCCATGGGCTGCTGAAGAGCAGCAAACTATGCTGAGAAACAAGGGACCCTTTTGTTTCTACAAAAATGGACAGCCAGGGTTATGCCAAGTGAGGAAGGTGAGGCCTCTTAATAGAGACACCAGAGCTGACATTCTGGTTGTTCAAGTTGATCTTTCATTTGAAGGAACTGATGATAGCGAGGTTGGAACTGGACTGGTGAAGTTGACCTCAATGGCAAACAATGATATCCAAGAGATATGGAACTCTCTCCTTGCCATGAATGCGGCTCTTACTAGCCTTCATTCTCAAGTACAAAAGCCATTCGAGAATGAAACATGCACCCGGTTAGTCTTTCCCAGGCAACATAAAGAGGATGGTAATGGTTGCTGGTGTTGGGAGGAAGCCAGATCTGAGAACTGTGTCCTCCATAGAGGAGGTATCAAACTTAACGTGCATATAAATGGTACTGAAACCACTACCACAACTAAAGGGACTGGGATAGAGGATTTACCATATCCCGAGGGCCTATCTGAAGCATGGCTTGTTTCTATCTTTGGGTGCACCTTTTCCAGGTAATAAATCTAATTAAATTTCCATCAACCATTTCTGGGCGTACTTCCTGAACTGAAAATGAAATATGCTTGACTTTCTCTATCTCAACAGGTGATGGAAAGATCAATCATATTTTGAACTTGAACTGCCGCTTTTACTATTGCAATTCGGTTGATGGAAAATTTTCTTGTTGCACGAGTTCCCCTTTCAAACTTCATTTTCCCGCATCTGCATTCCTTGATATTGGAATCAAGCAATGCAGCTGCTGCTCCAATCCCCTCCTTTTTCCAAATCTCCTTCCATGATAAATAAGGCCAACAAAGAGCAAATATACAAGAATATATGTCCCTGATGTGAATATACGCAATTTTTTTTTTGTTTTTCCCTTCTTCCAACCCCCCCTTTTTCCAAATCTCCTTTCATGATAGATAAGGCGAATAAATAGCGAACATGCAAGAAAGTCCCTGATTCTTCTTTCTTTTTCTTTGTAATGACATATAATGCAAATGATAATAAATTATAAGTATGTGTGATTATATTATTAGAATTTTTTATTTTATGGTATGAACGGTAAAACATGAATAATCGAATATAAAGACAATCGAATATAAAGACAATCTTAATATCACAGGGTTCACTTCTCATCAAATGATTTATGTTATGGATTTTGATTAAATTTATACTTCACAATGCTTTTTCAATACTATGGGGCCACCTGTACACAAGGGGCTACTACCCCTTCCAAATTTTAAAAAAGAAGAATATTACTTATTGGTGTTGGGAGAGTTTAACAGATGGGCTTGAGAGTACGGAAATATATGATTGTCAGATTCATAAGCCCCCCACAGGTATTGCACTCTAATAACTTGTTTCTCATTGAGTGAGATCTTGTGAGAGTCTAATGGGTTTGCTTGGGAGCATATAGATGTGAGAGTAAAAGCACATATGAAGAGACACTATATTGAACCAAAAAAGATATGCTTATAAGTTCATAAGCCTCCTGCTTTTATGTACTCCATCAATTGGTATGTGAGCAGTACTAAAATTATCGTTTACTAAACAAAATTACAAAACCCTTCATTTTTGAAAGTTATCTGTTGCACCTTTGTCAGTCTTTCTCTTACCCACTAAAGGGTTTCTTGTCTTCTTGCCTTGAAATTAAACAAGCGTTACAGTTGACATTGTTTCTTCTCTTTGACTCTATTGTGTAATTTGTAAATTTTCTTTATTCTAGGGTTTTATCATGTCAATGGTTATGCTAAAAGGGACAAGGATACTCAATATAATATCTGATCAATTGAACAACTTGTATTATTAAATTTAAAAAATATTTTGTAATTCAAACTGTAACAAACTATAAAATACAAATCTTTTGATGAGAGACGAGCTCCCTAACATTAGAGACTCTGTTCCCAATCCAAGTGTCAAGGAGCCTCCCAATCCAAAAGTTTATGTTTGCAATTTGACATAATTTGAATTATAAAAATATAAACTCTTACTAAACAAAGTGTTTAATTTACTCTTCCGGGTTAGAGTTTGTTTGGGTTCGATTTTGAAAAGGATAAGTGCAAGCATTAAGGGATCATTAAGGGTCCACGAGGCCATGGCCCCACTAACATTTTGGAAAAAAATTAAAGGAATAGTACTTATTTACTTTACTTCTTAAATATTAAAAGAAATATTATTTTAAAATTACATCATTTTAATAGACACTTATTGAAAAAGGCTAAAATATCATATTTTTAAAGCATAAATTAAGATATTTTTTTATCATTTTACCTCTAATTTTTTGTACGTAAGACGGACAAACACCAACTTCAAAAATTAATATACAACATAATTATATCATTAGGGCCCAGGGACCATGCCCTCTTTAACATTTTTGGAAAGAAGAACTAATCAATCCAGGCCGATCAAAAGATGAGAGACCAAAACAAAAGTGCATTAAAAATTGAGGCACTAATGATTCTGTTTACCCAAAATTATTGATCCTGGGTTTATTTTTCACAGCCTTCCTTAAATTATTCCATTGTCAATTCTATACTTCTATTTCCTAACATGAAAATCTTCTTCCACCATCAATGGTCTCGTAGCAGTTTTGTCTATACTTTTAACCACAAGCCTAGAGTTCAACCTCTTATCATTGCATACCAAAAAACATGAAAAGCTTGCCCCATTCTCAAATAGAGATTGAGTCCATCCCTCTTACCAGAAAATTAATTCCAAAAATCACCTGTGATTTGTTGCCTTGAGCTATAATGGAGTCTGGTAAAGATTTACACATTATCAAAAAAATGTAAAATAAAAAAATACTGAACAGAGAAATTAAGCTCCTATAGCTCCTAAATAAGGATTATCAAATGTAAAGATGTTCA